TTAATAAAGACCTACTGAGTTAAATTTGGGAGGTATAGGTTGGATTATAAGGCCACTGAGATCCTTTACAATTCTGAAATTTCATGACCCTCTATCCCCATTCCAGGGCCAATTTCATGAAGCAGGGAATGTTACCTGGAAGAAAACACCAATTCTGTTCAAAAGTAATTGTTTTTTATTTCAACTCTATAAAGTATACAACAGGCACTCGGCAATTACAGCTGCAGGGAAAATACAGAGCAAATCAAAAGCGGGTAACTTTATGAAAAAAAGTTTTCCATCTACATCGAAAGAGTGCAAATGGTCAGGGACCATTCTGATGACAAGCATCGCATGTTGACAGACAAAAAAAGCCTCTTTCATGTAGAACAAATCCATAAGAGGACAGTCAAAGAATCATCACTGTAAGAATACAAAAGGACTGACCAGTGTAAAAACAGCATAAACTGGGATAAATCTGAGGCAATGTTTAAATAAAGTTCCCTTGACTCAAAAAGCCTAAAACGTGGGAGACATTACCAAAGTCTCAGAGCTATGTCGGTTTATGCAGGGGACAGTTATAGAAGAGAACTGAGAACACACTTTTGACGTCCAGCTTTCTGGGTGTGTTTGAGACTTGTCTCATAAACAATTTGCATATACAAGAACTCATAGAAAGCAATAATCCTGTTTTGTTGACTGGGGGGGCCCCCAGGGACTCTTGTTCATGTGAATTTCGAGTTGTAACTGAGTTTGACGTGAATTGCAGACATTGACCAATGTTTTCTTTTGGGAGCCTCGGACCATTCATAATGGAGTCTAGAAAACATGATATGTTTGAACTTTTACTGCACTAATTTTTTTTTCATTGAATCTGCACAGCTGAGCAAAACAGGAATACCTGTATACAGACTGATAGTATGTCATATATTAATTTGACCTGCACGTACATTTAGACATTTCACAGAAATGATGCTGTATCTCATGAACAGATACACAGCTCTGGAACATTTAACAGAAATAAGAGAACCACGTCATCATTTCTGTAGTTCAATATTATATAATAAAGGCTTATAAATTGTTAGCAGAAAGAACTGTAAAACGCAGCAAGCTAAGAAAGGACAACATTTTGAGGTGTATTTGTCTTTGTCATGCAGCATAACACCAACTTTGTTTTTTTGTTTTTTTAATAGGATGCCATGAATTTAAGGCACTTGCAACAATACCAAATAGCCAGGTCATGATCTAAACTATGGGACAGATGAGTAACAGGATGATGGACAGAAGTATTCAAGAATACTGACAATTATGACCATTTGAGTCTACTCAGACCTAAAATCATTATTACACTGTTACAAAGAAGGGAACCAAAGAAGAATGCTATGGAACACGGGCAAAAAGAAAGTCGTATAAGTACCACAAAATATCAGCACGAAAATATCTATTTACATAAATATTTCTTTGTGGTCCTGTTGTGAAAGAAAAACTTTGTGAATAATGCAGTTCTGAAATAAACCACAGATCACCTCTACCTTGGGAATTCAGTCCTCACATACTAGTTTTCAATATGGTAGCTGACTGGGAATTTTCTAGCATGTTGTTGGTTTGCTCACATAAAAGTGAGAATCAAATTAGGAAAACAAGAGCAGTATGTTTATAAATATTATTGTATGTGTGCATGTGCAAATCATATGTATTCCTCCATTATTTGTAAGGAGAAAATAACTCTTGAAACTATATTTGCACTGGCAGTAAAGGATCCCAACAGATTGGTATTAGAAGCTACATAGGTCAGATGTTATGTCCTAGAGTACAAGGACAAAGGGGACAGAAAGACATAAATGTCATTTCTGAATTTTCCCCAGGAAAATGTTCTTTTATGTGTTCGGTTCACCCCAAATAACGACATCCATTTCCTTAGCTGTTCATCAGTATCACTGTCAATAAACTCCCATAAAAAGCCCTTTCTCTCCAAACTTTGATGTATTCACAAGAAATTTAGTAAAGCAAACAAGGAAATTTCTTCTAGATACCACTACTACTATTCAATATTAGGTAGAAAACAGGGAAAGGGAAAGGAAGAGTTCAGAAATCGGGTGAAAAGTACTTTGTGAAAATTATGATTTTAGCCCTCAGGTCTGTGTCTGCATACAGACAGTATCTGATTCCATAAATTCAGTGGTGAAGGTTATGTGGATTGGATATATGTTTGTTTGTTTGTTTGGGTTTTTTTAACTTCATACTAGTCATTCCTTGTTGGTACACTCAAAATCTTTTCAGTATTACTCCAGGTAGTACAAAGCTTGCTACACATGAAATATACAAGCATCAGAGAGAAAGTGTGTAGTTAGTTTCATGGTGTTCTGTGCTACTTTGTAGCTTTTTTAAGTTAATTTTCAGAAATTGGCCAAATGGACAAATCATTGCAGAGACCAAGACAAGTAGGGGAGAGTCTCTATGCTGTTGAAATGTCATATACATTGTTGTTATTGTTGTTGTTGTTGTTTTAGGGGGGCAGTATTTTTGTCCTCTTTTAGGTAACTTTAATGTTCTAGCAAATCTTGGGCAGATTAAACTTTATTTTGAAAAATTCTTAATGCTTCCATTTTATTCTCTCTAGCTATTTTTATTTCTCTTCCTTTACTACAAAAATTCAATGTAAAAGGGTCAGTTAAAAAAAAATCTAAGCCAAATCGAAAGGAATACTAGGATAGAGAACTTTTAGAGTAGAAACACAGGTTGTCTGATCAAGGCCTCTGAAATCAGCAGGAGTAAGCTCGTTCTCTTTTAGAAATCATTTTGTTAAATTGGGGATCTTAAAACCATCTGGTGATGTTAATATTTTTTAAAAAATAAATTTATTACTTATTTGCTTTTAACATTTGTTTTAAAAAAATGTTGAGTTTTCTGAGTTATCTCCCTCTCTCCTGACCCTCCCCACCCATGCTGCTAATATTTTTTAGAAGATTAATTCTCCTTGCAAATTTGGAAGGAAATATAAAGCACGTTTTGAAAGCATCAGGACAAAAAGAATGCTAAGATTTTGATTCAAAATACGAGTGTACCTGGGTACACAATGGTATTTGAACTTGCCCCTCCTGCTGCTATATTTCAGAGAGTCCATGTACATTTGTGCTTATATGCAAATACAAATAAAAGTCATTGCATTTCTGAAGATGTCTTAAGTAAAAGTAAAAAATGCACCATCTTCTAGAACTTAAAATCATTTGGCTTCTCTGTCTCTGACATGAAGATCTAAAGTAGATAAATTTTTGCAGAAATCATCACATTTGATTTCCTTAGCCTATTCATTTAACTTTTTGCTTCCTCTGCCTCCACAATGAAAGCCCACATCAGCTTTCCTTTACACTATTCCATACCCAGAAGAGAACCTAGTAGATACATTGATTTACTGGAAATGTGGAACCCTGACTGGAAGGACTGTACTTCGTGCCAAAGTAAGATTTCAAAGGCTCCTGGTCAAATGGACTAGATAAACTTGGGCATTCTAGCTTAGCAGGACCTTTTGGGCATGGACCTTCAAAATCCCATTTAGACACACAAAACCAGATCTGATTTCCTTAAATTATCAGGAGTGCTTGTGTGTGTGTGTGTGTGTGTGTGTGTGTGTGTGTGTGTGCACATGCATGTTCTCAATGTCTTTTAACTCAGTCTTTATGAGCTAAATATTATCATTGTTTATGTTTTGGTTAAAAGTTATAAGAATTGATTTCATCCCTGCCAATGTTCTTCCTTTTTCTCTTTGTCCTGATGCTAATGGGCTGATATCATTATGTATAGTATCTTTGAACAAAACAGACATTGAGCTGGTCAGATTCTTGTCTTCCTCCCTGAACTGACTCAGTTGTATAGTATCATTCCTCAAGTCCTGACTGGCCAACGGTGGAGTCAGCCTTGCTGGGTTCTGGAGAGTAAGACGAGAAGCTAGATCTAAATGATTTTATTCCTGCCTCCCCGTCTCCTTTTCTGTGGACCAGGAGCTAAGGGGATGGGAAAGCAAACTGTAACAAAAGTTTGGTTTAATCACCTCAGTGGTAATATGTGTGTGAGTCTCTGGCTACCTGTGAAATGCATATGAAATGGTTGAGATGTGTGTTGGCTGGTTTACACGTCGACATTTATAGATGAAAGATATACATAGCACCTCTAGAGTGGTTTTTGTGGGGTGTTTCAATGGGTCTTATTTTTCCCCTCAAGGAAAGGGGAGGTTTTTTTAAAAAATGAGAATATTTTGAAAGCCTCAGTCTGAGGGCCATTAAAGAAGAAAGCCAATCAGCTGCCGCCCTTCTAGCTCTAGGACCATTCTGCTAAAATGTGAAATGGTTTTGTGAATTTCTTTTTTTTTTAATCCAACCAAGCCTGTGGACCAAAAGGAAAAACAAGAACAAATAAACAAACAAAAAGAAACCCAAACCAGAAATATCACACACCTCATCGTCATTTGTGTGTAAGAACATGTCCACGTCTGCTGTGATGGTTTTCCGAAACCATAAGCAGAGTTGTGCTTTTATCTCTAGTTTTTTAAATTTTTAAATAAGATTTTTGGAAAGCACTTAGTCAGTGCCTAGAACACAGTAAGTGCTTAATAAATGCTTGTTCCCTTCTCTTCCCCCTCCCATTTAAAATAGATGGTAAAGAAAAAAAGAAAAATAAACAAACAAAAAAAGATTGAAAGGAAATATTCAGGCTTGTCATGACTCCTATTTGGGGAAAAAATGAAAGAACAGTTAGCACTGATTTGACATGAACTCCTCGACTAATCAATTTGTGGTCCTTTTTTTGTATAGACACTGGCCCGCAGTAAAAGACCCCTGTGTTCCCCTACTGAAGAGTGCTGACACCCTGGCCACCCATACCATAGAGGACTACAGTACACAATAATGCACAATTTGATTCTACTGAGAATCCTAGCTGCAAGGTTCAGACCTAAGCTTGATTGAAGTATTTCTTATACCATTTTTATCTTTCAGATTATAACTAGAGCAAAGCAAGATCGTTGATGTGGTAGAAAACATTTCTTTACTGGTGAAAAGGCTTTGCTTCAGGACCACCATGTCAACTGCAGTTTTCGGTTCAAACATAAAACATGTAGAGAGAGCATATTGTCATCTAAGCGATAAGTCCGAATGCCACTGGAGTGCTGTAGCAGCATCATCGATCAAGGCATCATGGTGACCCCGAGCACGGATCTTCTCCCATTCCTTCAGGTTTGCTGGCAGCCGTGTCTCAGAAAAGCTGTCTTCAGCAAGGCAGAAGCAGGTAAGAAAAATGCACTAAAAGTCTATGTCCCATCCCGAGTTGTCATCTGGCGGCGGCTCATCGTTGTCCTCAGGGAAACTGTCAAAGTTGCTCGTATCTGTGGGGGAGGCGACCTGCAGATGGGGGACAAGCACAGTGGGATTCATGAACATGCAAAGACAAAGACAATGCAGAGATGGAAGGCACCTTGGAGACTAGCTAGTCCAACTCTGTCATTTTACAGATGAAGAAACTGAGGCTCAGAAAATTTTGGTGACTTCTCCAAGACCACACAGGTCATATGTATCATGGGTGGGATTTGAATCCAAGACCTCTGATCCAGAGTCAAAACCCTTCCCAATATATCAACTTATTCCCGGTGAATTTTTTCTCAGAAGATATTATCATTAGATAAAACATTCTTTCCTCCCACTTTCTTCCCCTAATTCATGTGTTAGTGACAATATTGAATGACATAAACTTTATGGTGAGGATGAGATGGCCATTTCCTGGTATGGACAGGACATCAGGAAGCTACTGACATAGTTTTCATCTATGATTTTCACGTGTGAAATTGATTGCTACATCCATCATGATTTCCTTAAGGAAATCAGGCTTGCCTTAGACCTAAATCATAGCAAATCCAATTCTGGTAGTATTTATTTTATGCAGTAGATGGGTTCTTAACATAAGTTTATTAATAAGTTAAAAATAACCAAAACAATACTTTTCAGCAAATTGTTTCCTTTCCTTAAAATTTATATTGGAACAGGTCAGCCTTCAATAGACAGTAATAATATTATGGAAATCCCCAAAGGTTATGTGCTTTTCCTCACGGGGAATACTCACTATGAGAATTCCCTCCACCAATGCAGCTCACAAGCAGTGTTTGATTTTGTGGGAAAATTCTAAAGAGTTGTTTGAGGTGCAGAACATTTAAGTGACTTGCTCAGGGTCATACAGCTAGTGTCAGCAGCAAGATATCAATAATAATAACCAACATATTAAAATGGTGCTTTATATTACACTGTGACTTCCCTCAATATCCTTTCCACTCCCTTGATCAAAATGTTCCTCTTTGGTTCCCACTGTTGACTTCATCTATTAAAATATAAATTCTTAGAGGGCAGAGACTGCCTTTCTTTTCAATTTTTACTCCCACAGCATAGTGGCTGGGACAAAGCAAGCACTTAATATATTTTTTCATTCATTCACTTATTCATTCATTTGTTACTCATTTCTGCCTAAGACCATTATTTACCTCTCATTTTGGCCTTAGTTAACTAGTTAATCAGCAGTAAGGAGAGGCTTCATGGTGTCATTTTCTGAAGGCAACTTGAGGTAGATCTTTTATAAAGTGAAAAATCACTTTTAAAAATGAAAATTTGATAATTTCCTCCTACTTTCATCTTTTAAAAAATGCTTGGGCTTCGTTGTGCAGGGATTTTTTTTTTGTCATTGCTTTTGTTTGTTTTTGCTTTTTTGTTTTTTAATGTGGCCCCAGCTATACTTTATTAAGGGCTACCACTTGGACACTAGTGGAGGGAGGCGCAATGTGGAAAAAATACCTAATCTTTCAAAGTCCTGACTCTGCAATCATGCTCATGTTCGCACTTCATCGGTATAGACACTCTCTCCTCAGAAGCAGGTAGCAGCTCCCTGTATGGTCCCCTCTTCTCTGCCTTAACTGCTCGTCCTTGCCTTAGTGAACTGTCTTCATGAGTTATTGAGGTTGGAAAATTCCACTACCTGGTCTCCTGCTCCAAGTCTCTGAAGAATAAACTTATGGTCTATCTGAGGGCCTGCCCAGCATGAGAAGACCTACCAGAGTATCTGTTTTACTGGCATAGACTTCCGTACATCAAAGGAGTTATTGACTAGTGAATCCATGGACCTTTTACTTACTCACAAAGCTTCCAGTAATGGGCAAGACAGACATACAAGGGTAGAGTAGAGAGGTTACTCACACTTGGTATTATAGGCGGCGTCAAGGTACCTTTTCTCAAGCCTTCCCAATTAAAGCCTTCAAACCATCTGCAAAGAGAACCAAACAGAAATGCAGAGCATTTTATCCTTATGCTGGCGGTTCTGTATCATCTTTTTTGTTGTTGTTCAGTTGTTTTAGTTGTGTGACTTTTCATGACCTCATTTGGGTTTTTTTTGGCAAAGATACAGGAGTGGTTTGCCATTTCCTTCTTCACCCCATTTTACAGATGAGGAAACTGAGGTGAACAGGATTAAGTGACTTACTAAGGGTCACACAGATAGTGAGTGCCTGAGCCCAGATTTAAACTCAGGGCTTCCTGGCCCCAGGTCTGGCACTTACAACCCAGCTGCCCAAAGCTGTATCATAGATATGTGAATAACAACCTGATAGATGTAGCAGATATTGAGTAGAACTTGAGTACTTCAAAAAACTCTAAATTTGCTGAGGGCAGGAACTTTTTAAAAAATTTTGTCTTTGTGCCTTTCTCTGTATGGAGAACTGCTGGGTATGGGCATTCCCTCCTCTGAGAAAGACTAGCCACCTCTCTGTAGTCTTAGTCTAGTCTGCATCAGAGAGTTCACTGATGGCCTTGGGATTTAGCAAGTTTGAGATACTTGTAGGCTTTGAACTTGGGCCTTCTGGCCTCCAAGGCTGTCCCTTTTCAACTGGACTTAAGAGATGCACAGCATGTCTTTTTGAATTGAATGCATTCAAATGATCGATAAGCATTTCCATTAGTCCAAAATATATATTACCCCAAATTATTTTAGAAATACATGTTTTAAAAATTAAATTACATTTAAAAATTTATTTTAACTTAACTCTCACCAACAAACACAAATATTTCAACTTACAAAGAGGAGGCTTACATAAGAAGCTGTAGCCTTCTGATATGTACGTTTGTCTTTAAGATATATGTATGTATATACATAAACACATATGTACATACATACATATAGAGAGATACACACACACACAATTTAACAAGGCAGTAACTAAATGGGTCTACTCTTTATTTGCGGAGAAGTAATAGGAATCTATTTTCAAGTCCTGTTTTCTTTTTAAATTAATGGAAATCAAGTTATCAAAACATTCTTTTATGTAATGAAAGGTTTTCTTACACAGAGAGCCCCTGACCCCCAGGATCTGAAACAAGGAGAACCTTATTTAGGATTTTCTCGGAAGTCATGTCAGCCAAACTCCTCATTTTTGAGATGAGACTAACTGTGGCCCAGAGCAGGTGGGAGATGTGCCCAAGGCAAGAAGCACATAGTAAGGGGCAGAGCTGGGACTGGAAGCCTGGTTCTCTGATCCTAAATTCTAGACTCTTTCCTCTGGACCACCATCTCCTAATTTCTTATTGTAAAGGAGTTTCCTTGGTGATGACTCCATGGCCAGTAAGGCTGAATAAATGCTTGTTACTTTAATTAGGAGACCTGGGGACATTAGGAGTCTGAGAAAAACCAAACCAAAGAGTCTTCCTGGCCTTGCCACCAATGAGTTGGCCAACCTTAGCCAAGGAATTCTATGACTTTGCTTCATCGGTCTCTGCAAAGTAAGAATATTAGGGAGCCAAATGAGAAGTTCAGTTCGCCTTTTTCAAAGAATTCATTAGACCCATATTTGTTGTTGACCCCTCTTGCTTATAGAGTTTGGCATTAGGCACTGAAGCACGCAGAAACCTGGGAGGAGCCCTCCCTCCTGCTCCAGCAGAAGGCTCCAATGTAATCCTGGTCCTCTCAGAGCACAATAAGGGAAGAGGGGGCCCAGCTTCCCTTTGCTCCTCTCAAAGCAAGAGGAAGAGAGATTTTTAATGCTCATGGGCAGAAGACCAGAAAAGGAAAGCTTCTTCCCACCTCCAACTAAAGATGTTTCCTTATCCCTCTGCCACCCTCTTGAAATCACCTTGTATAACTTTGCATATACTTTGTACTTAATTGACTATACACATACTATTTCCCCCTAAATAGAATGCAAACTCCTTAAAGGTAGGGACTGTTTCACTTTCATCTTTCTCTCCTTGGTGCCTACTACAGTGTCTGGAACATAGCAAGTGCCGAGATATTTGCTGAACATAGGATTTGTATGTGCAGAATTTCAATGCCAGTTGCCTCCATGAGATAAGACATGGAAAGGAAGCAAATGAAAAGTTGAAGTAGTTTTGGAAGCCCCAGCACGGGCATGTTTCAGGCACAGAATTGTAGGGACTGAAAGTATTGTCAACCACCCAGCTAGTTCACCCCAGTGGCTCTTTTGGGTCCCATTCTCATTCCAGAAGGTGAACTCCACGCCCACCTCCTGATCCTCTTTCCGCATAAAGAGACACTTGGACCTGAGCAGGGAAAACACTTATCAGGGCCACTGGGATCCGGAAAGGAGACTTACTTGTGCTTCTGGATATCTTTTACTCCATTCTTCAAGTTCCCTAATCTTTCTGATGGATTGTCCCTATAAGGAAAACAACAGAAAGTTATAGAATTCACTTTCTTATTTTAAAACAAATTATTGATTTGTTTGTATACAATAGAAACCTTAAAAATCCCAGTACCTTCCTTACAAAGCACATTCCTCCCAAACAATTATTTGATTTTTAATGTTGTTTAATGATTACTAAATGAAGGGAAATCAAGTTATCCTAAAGGTCACATGTAATGAAAAGATTTTCTTACAAAGAGGGCCCCTAAACCCCAGCATCTGAAAGAAGGAGAAAATTATTTAGGGTTCTAGATTTAGGAAGCCATCTCAGAAGTCATGTAGAATCAATTAATTTGATAGAGGGGAGGAACATAAATGACTTTCTCTATAGACAGACACACTTTGGGGGGCAAGGCACAGGGCCAAAATGACAGTAAAGCTAAACCGCTCACCTGCATAGTTTTTTAATTAAATTAGCAGCATTTTTGGCAATCTTCTTTGGAAATTCTATCATGTCAATCCCTCTCAATATGATATTATAGGTCTTCATAGGATCCGGGCCTGAGAAAGGGGGACTTGAAGAAAAAAAAATAAAACGGTGACATTTCCTTAGGTTTTCATTCTACAAAGAGTTCATTTTTAAACATATTATAAAAATCATCTCCATAAAACATCCTTGATCATTTGCACAGTCCTTGGCACATGGCAGGGACTCAATAAACGCTTTCTTTATTAAGTTAGATGATTGACAATGAGGCACACTCGCTGAGCAATCAATGGGAGAAAGTGGAATATGATGCTTTGTCTTCACTTCTCTGCGTACAAGTCCATTTGTCCCCAGGTAGGACGCATGGCCCTTGATGGCAGGGATGGGTTCATTTTTGTCTTTGCATCTGCAGTGCTTTGACTAATAGTAGGTGCTTGATGCGCGTCTGCTGAATTGAATTAAATGCAGCAGATTTCAGAACATCATGGATTCTGGGCTTGGGGCATGAACCCTGCACCCAGTGAAGCAGGTCATGTTTCCCCAGCATCCTTCTCCTTCCACCACATTCCCTCTTCCTAAGCTTCTAGTGGCCTTGGAATGTGGCTGCTCGAAGGTCAGATTCAATGCATCCTTCTAACCTTTGGGATTTGGTGGAGCTGATAGTAAGTTGGCCTTGGAATAATGTCTGGTTCAAATCCTGCCTCTGACTGGCTGACCCTGGGTAAGTCAGTCTCTCAGCAGCTCAAGAAGCACTTTAAGACTCTTAAGTGGCTGAGCTCAGGTTGATCTGCCTTGCTCGAGGGTGTTTCCTCAGTGGAAAAGCCCCATGTGGATGAAATCACAGTTTTGCGTGAACACAAAGCTGATGGGCCCTATGCAAGGCACCAGTGACACAAACAGGAAACAATCCCTGCCTCTACATTCTGTGGGGAACATGCACCTGCTGGTAACATAGTACCCCTTGGGAGAAAAGCAGGCTCCATTGAGGGGACAAGGAAAAGCTTTGTGCAGGAGCCTTCTGACCTGGGCCTAGAGAGAAGGTATAGCTTCTAAAGGTGGAGGTGAGGAGGGAGGGCATCCCAGATGTGGAGGACAGCCTAGCAAAGGCACAGAGATGGGAGATAGAATGTCGTGTGTGGGGATCAGCGGGTAGTCCCCTACGGCTAAACCAGAGAGCATCTGGAGTCAGATGGGGAAGGACTTTAAATGTTGAACAATGTTTGTATTTTATCTCAGAGCAGGGGGTGACATGCTTTGGGCTTACTGATTTGACAGCTGTGTGGTCAATGGATTATCAAGGGGAGAGATGGAGGCAGGGAGATCAATAAAAGGCTGTCACAGTAGTGCAGGGAAGAGGCCATGAGGGCCTAACCAGCAGTAGCCAAGGGCTCAGAGAGGAATTAGATGTGAGCAGGACCCAAAAGGGAGGATGGAATTGAGACTGAACGGATGGAATTAAATTTTCGCCCTAGTAGGATTTCTTTCAAGTAATGAAACATCTCAGCAAGGACTGAACGGTCAAGAAAATTTCAGAGAATCACCAAATCAAAGAATGCCAGAGCTGGGACCGACCTCGGGGGCCATCCTGTCTAACCAGGGAAAGTACTTGAAAAATAGATGCAAGGGAATTAGCACTGTGGGAACAGACTTTATGGAGAAAGTTGTTTGGGGTGAAGTTTTGGACTTGTTTTTGTCTTTTAAGAAGTCTGGTGGGGGAAAGAGATGCCATATCAAATGTACTCAGGACACCTGGGCACCCACCAATCTGCTCAGCAGACCAACTATTAGATCTTCAGCACATGATCCTTCGGGAAGGTGAAGAGTGTCCAGGAGAAGGGAACCAAGATGGCGGAGGGCCTTGAGTTCATGTCATGTGAGGATCAGCTGATGGAAGAAGGGTTGTTTAACTGGAGAAGGCAAGACTGGGGTGGGGGGATGTGATATCTGGCTTCAAGCATAGGAAAGGCTCTCATATGGAGACAGGATTACATTTATTCTAATGGAGCATTGGATGAAGGTTAGAAAGGAACCAACGTAGGCCGAGATGTCAGGGGGAATTTCTCAACAGTTAGAGCTATCCCAGAGAGAATGGGGAGCCTTTGGAGGTGGTAAGTTCCTTCTCCTTAGAGGACTTGGGTATGTTAATAGTGGGGATTCCTTTCCTATATTAGTTGTAGTAGATGGTTGCTGAGGTACCTCCCAACTCTAAAATTCAGCGGTTTTATGGGAATATGCTCCTCTGGGAGTGCCATAATCAAAGAGACAAGGGCAGAACCATCTCGTGTTCAGCCGGCCCATTTTTACCCACACTTCTCGTTTCAATGCTCATACCTGCCAGTCAGGAGTTCATACATTAGGATTCCTAGCGACCAGTAGTCTGCCGAAATGTCGTGACCTTTGTTCAGGATGATCTCAGGGGCTACGTACTCTGGGGTCCCACAAAATGTCCATGTTTTCTTTCCAAATCCTATTTTCTTTGCAAAGCCGAAATCAACCTAGAAGCAAAAAGCAAAGGAAAGAGAACATAAGTACACATAAAACAACACTGCTCCACACAGAGGAAGAGAGGTCAGTGGAATACTAGAAGATGTGGTTTTGTTGATTTTAATCAGAGAACAAATACATATGGGGAGAGTGATAAAAATGAGAAGAAATACTGGACTCCATAATCCCATCTTCTCCAAACAGTTAATTTGTGTTATAAACAACTGAACAACCACCACTAAGACAACAAACTTCTCTAGGGAAGGAAGAATGATTCGGTTCCAAACGTTGTCTAGTTTTGAGTCGCCCCCACGAGATTTCTCGTGGCAGTCCTTTCCGGTGACTTATGCACGTTATCGTATTCATTTTACACAAGAATGCTCGCTCTTATCTGAACAAAGAAGGAATTCTGAACTAGTCTTCTGCCATTCAGTTAGTTGAGTCACGTCCACCTCTTGGTGATCCCATTTGGGGTCTTCTTGGGCAAAGATATGGGCTATTTCCTTCTCCAGTGGATCCTTTTGTTGGGCAATCAGAGGTGAAGTGACTTGCCAGGGTCACACAGCTAGGAAGTATCTGAGGTTGGATTGGAACTCAGGTCTTCCTGACGCCAGGCCCAGTGCTTTATCCACTGAGCCACCACCTGCCTCTCTGAACTAAGTTACCTTCCTCTTCTTATCACTTGACCCAATTTAGCCAGATCAGCTGATCTGTTGTCTCCAGGGCTATCTGGACACCTAAACACACTTTCCACCAACTTTCATTAAAGTCATGTCATTAATTAAATATCATGAATCTACTCATTCAATAATGTAACCTCATTACAGCTGTCTTTGTGTACTTTAAGGCAGCATGTGTCTACCTCTTGCCGCCTCCTTACTTCCCTAGATTCCCTGGCTTCCTTTCAAATTCAGCTCGTCTCCTACCTTCTGTTGGAACTATCTTGGTCCCCCATGTGCTGGTGTTTCCCCTGTTTGTACTGCCTGCCTTTACTTGCTGTGTATGTGTCTCAGATGCTCCCGCCATTGACCTGCACTCCCTGAAGGCAGTTACTCTTTCTTCCCTTCTTGTGTCCCCAGCAATGAAGCCCATACATTGTAAGGGCATAATAAAAACTCACTGAAGAATTTAAAACTATCTTTGGACTGAACCTGGGATTCCAAGAGATGGAGGTAAGGAGGGAGAACATTGCAGGCAAAGAGAAAGGTATTTCCTCATAGTAACTCTGATTTTGCATGTTTGTTTTTAAGTTAAAATGCCATTAAAGTAAATACATTTTTGTCAAATGTATTAAAAAACTAGATAGCCCTATTTTCTTTTTTCCCCACTTAATAGTGTTTTATTTTTTCCAATTACATGTAAAGATAGTTTCAACATTCACTTTTACAAGATTTTGAGTTCTAAATTTTCTCCCCTTCCCCCCCCAAGACAGCAAACCATGTGATATAGACTATACGTGTACAATCATATTAAACATATTTCCACACTAGTCATGTTGTGAAAGAAGAATAAGAAGAAAAGGGAAAAACCATGAGAAAGAAAGAACAAAATAACAAAAAAAGAGCAAATAGTATTCTTCAATCTGCATTCAGACTCCATAGTTCTTTCTTTGGATGTGGATAGCATTTTCCATCATGAGTCTCTTGGAATTGTCTTAGATCATTGTTTTGCTGAGAACTATGTCAATTAAAGTTGATCATCACACACACACACACACACACACACTCACTGAGCAACTGACTAACTTGTTCCCCTTAGCCTCAGAAGGCCAGATTAGGGGCAATAGGTAGAAGGTGGGGAAAAAAGAGAAAATACTCCAACCACTAGGATTGTTTAGAAGTGGAATTCCTTTGGAAGGTCATTCCTTTAGAGCTGAAAGACAGTTCAGATGCCATAAAGTCCAATCTCCCTCTTGTGCAGAGGGGCAATTGAGGTCAAGACCAGTTCTATGGTTTGCCCAGGGTCATAGCTAGAGAAAGGAGACAGCTCTGGCTTCCCTCTCATGGAATATTCTTAAGCAGAGGCTGGGTGACCATTAGTTGGGGGTGTTGTAGATGCCATTCCTGGTCAGGTATCCATCAGAGCAGATGGCCGCTGAAGTCCTTTACACACTGATGGTGCAAGGGCTTATATAATATTTATTGACAAATATCAAGGTTATTACAAGTGTTAACAAATAGCATCTCACCAAGCTCTGCTCCAGCACGTAGACTCTTTTGAACAATTATAAAATTTCCTTGAGTACTAAGGAATAACTATAAATTTTGACCGTGAAATAACCAAATTTAGCATGGAAATATCTCCTTAATTCCAATTTAATACAAATCCAGCCACTGAGAGACTCAGAGTACCTAAAATTTGCTGATTTTCAACCCGGTGGGATTCTTGGGGTTAGAGATGTTTCCTTCCTTTTTCTTTTTCTTTTTTTTTTAACAGTGGCATTTGAAACAAAGCCTAGAACATAGTAAAAGCTTGATAAAACTTGAATTTAAAAGGATTTTTCAGGATAAGTAAATTGTTTCTTTCCATCAAATTGAACAGTTTAACTAATACTGGGTAGGATGAGTTAATGCTGAGAATCCTCTGAGTAAAGTAGGTTTTTTTTTTTAAATAAAAGCCTCAAAATCCTTTCCCCAAGGGAATTAAAACATACTTCAATTTAATGAAATGAAAAATCAATCAACTACTGTTTTCCAAACACTATAGTAGGAACAGAGTATACAAAGAGAAAAATGACATAAGTCCTGTCTTCAGAGAACTTACATTCTGTCAGGGTAGGTACGTGTACAAATAAGAAATACAAAGCTTTTGTAGAGGGAGGGAGAATGTGTTTTTAACTAGAGGAATTAGGAGAGATTTGTGTAGGAAGAAGCACCTTGAATACTTTGAATTAGCTAGGATTTCTGTGAGTTGGATGGAGATGAGGAGGCTGTGGATTCCAGACAGAGGAGACCACTTTCCCAAATGTGTAGAAGCAGGTGAGGGACCATCTCATGTAGAAAACAACTAACAGGCCTGTTAGACCAGAACAGAGAGAAGATGAAGGACAGAAAATTAGGAAAACTGGAAAGGAGAGCTTGGGGAAAGCCTCAAATGCCAGGGTAAATATTTAGTCTTTTCTCCTACATCTACTAGGGAGCCATTGGAGATGTTTGAGGAGCAAGGGTTCATATAGTTGGGTATATGCTTTAGGAACATGAATTTGTCAACTGTGTGGAAGGTAGACTGATAATGGAAAAGACTAGAGGCAGGAAGAACAATTAGAAAGGGCTTGAACTCCAGCAGGTGCTTTGTGAGAAGAGGAAAGTACACAGATGCAGGAAACATGGAGGTTGGATCAAATTAGATATGGAAACTCATTGGGTGTGTAATTGGAGAAGAGGGAAGATCAGGCATTACAGTAAAATTGTGAACCCTGAGGTGGTGCCATAGGAAAGAGATATGTGTGTGTGTACATGTGCATGTGTGCATAGGTGTGAATGTGTGTACGTGTGTGTGTGTGTGTGTGTGCACCCGCACAATGGGTTTGATGGGAAATATAATGAGTTTCACTTTGAGCAGGTGGAGTTTGAGATACCCTTATGGGACAGCTAGTTGAAAGTGTCCAAAAAGCAGTTGGTAACATGGTTCAGGGAAGAGATTAGGACCAGAAGTAAAGACTGGAATTCATCTATGTAGAAATAATAACTGATCCCATGGGAGCTGATGCACCCAGGGTGAAAGTGTAGACAGAGAATAAAAAAAAATTATTTCAGACAGAGCCTTTTGAGATGCTCATAGGAGAAAGAGGAAGAGCAGTTTGATATGTAGGAAGAGAAGCGACAGAGACAAGTAACATGGAAGGCTGGAAGAAGAAGACCATGAGCAGAAGTTGGGGGATTGGCCTTGGCAAGGAGGGGGACGAGCTCTTCTTTAGAGACTGGGGCAAAGGAGTCGATGGGAGAGGATGATGAAGAGAGATTTTGAGGCACTGTGGAATGAGAGAGAAGAAGGGACATGAGACGGTCAGCCTTGGTTTTCTCAGCAAAGTTAAGTTCTCTGCCGGGAGCTCGGCTGGCTCTCTCTCTGCTCAGAGAATTGGGAGGATGTGTTTACTATAGGAGACTGGAGGAGAGAGGGAAAGGTTTGCAACAGGTATTGTGGAAGATGTGATAGAGTTGTTTGTGGAGTCATAAAAGGATTTCTGTTCAGCAGTGAGTACCTGGCTGAGATGAGTTACCCTCAACTGGCAGTGTACCTACTCTGTGTGATTGATTGACTTTTTTAAAGGAACACATGAGGAGGAATAACATGGATAGTAAGGGTGACTCAGCTTTGGGGTTTGGAAATAGGACAGAGGACAAGGGGTTAAAGGAAGTAGGAAGTATATGGTTGAACTGATTAGTCATGGGTGCAAGACTGTGAAGGATGAAAAGTGAAGACAGAGCAGGGGTGATGAATTGAGAGAAACGATGGAAGGACCGGAGGTCTAAGTGAGGATAGAGGATAAGTCAAGGAGGAAATGAGGCAAAAGGAGAGATCAACAGTTAAGTGACTATGGTGGGAGAGTGGGATTTTAAAGGTCTGAATTATGGAGGTGTGACAGTTATGGCTAATTGTGGGATCAAGGGTCCAACTGCTTCTAAGATTAAATGAAGACAGAAGGAATGAGCATTTAGGAGGCTGACTGGAAGGGAAGGGTGTTCTAGGGGGTATCAACATTCTTGAAAATGACTCACAATATTTCTAGATAATTGAGACAATGATTCAACTATTTAAAATTATTTTGGATGGAAGGTGTCTGGAGGAGATTACTTCTCTACAATTCCTCCAAACCTAAGAATGTATCATAACAAATGTTAGAACGTCCCAGTCTCTCAGAATGGCACTCCACACTCCAAAACATCACAGGCCTTTTTTCACAATGCCTAGAATATCGAGACATTGAAGGGCATGGACTGCGTTTAGGGGAAAGAGTGAGATGTTCACATGAGTGCTGTGAGATTGGCTTCCTATCCGAAAATTCATCCCCTTTGTGAAGATACCAGCAGCAAAAAAGTACTGACCAGTTTGGCGTAACCTCGGTGGTCGAGAATGAGGTTTTCTGGCTTAAGGTCCCTGTAGATGATTCCTTTGGAATGCAGATAGGCAAATGCTTCTACGACACACGCTGTATAAAATCTGGTTGTTGAATCTTCAAATGAACCTCTGGGAAAGAGAAAACAGAACGAATGGAGCACAAAGAATGGGTTAACCAAACAGACTCAGGGACTTCACAATTTGTCTTACCCCTGGCCAAAAAGGAAGGCCAAAGAACAAAGAGCTGATGGGCTCCCAAGGCCTAGGAACAGCTGACATTTGTGTAGTCCCTTAAGCTTTGCAGAGTGCTTTTGCACGCATTGTCTTCTTCTATTTTCTTCTTAGAAGGCATAGGCTTATAAGACACATTGCCTCCTCCGTTAGACGGGGAGATTCTTGAGAGCAGGGGCCTCTTTCCTGCCATTCTTTATGTGCCTGGCACTTAGCCCAGGGCCTGGAACATACATATTTGTGGATTTGACTTGTTTACTTAAGGGCAGGAACTGTAGAGGACGGCACATAGTAGGTGCTTTTTAAATGCTTGTTGATCGATTAATGCTCACCACTGTGTGTGTTAGGTACTCCAGGTCTTACTGAGTCTCATATTTTAGAGAGTAAGAAACGGAGAGAGGATGACCAGAACTGATAAAGGAAAGGGGGAAGATTCAAAGCCTGAACTCAGCATCCAGTCACTGCTAGGACTTCCCTGCTTCCCTCCAGCTCTGAAGCAGCAATGCTACCATCACCAGCTGAAGTATTCTCTGGAGTGAATACCACGTCACAGGAGCACACTCCAAGACAGCTTCTAAGAAGCAGCTGAGAACACAACACAATGATTTGTCTAAAAAAATGACCAATATTCTTGAAGGCTAAATTCCAGAAAGGCCTAGAGTGTATTTTAATGCTAATAATCATAATGATAATCATAATAACACTTAGAATTTATATAGTGCCTACTATGTGCCAGGCATTGCACTAAGTGCTTTACAAGTATTATCTCATTTCCTCTTCACAACAACCTTGGGAGGCAGATGTTAATGTAATCCCCATTTTGCAGATGAGGAAACTGAGGCAAATAGAGATTTTTTTTTTTTAAATTGCTTGACCAAGTTCTTACAGCTACTAAGTGTCTGGGGTAGGATTTGAAGTGAAGTGTTCTTAAACTTCTTAATTTCAGGTACCTAACAACTCCCTTCCACTAACCGACTAGCCATCCAAAAAGGGACAATGACAATCATGGCGTGTGGGAGAATCATGCTTCGAGGCTTATCTGCCAGCTAGGTTTGTGACAGAACTTCAATTTTAAAGAGACTAGCAAGAAGAAGCTTTGGTTTTGAGATTTTGTTTCCCATAGATTTTTGAACATTTTTTTTACTTCCATGTGATATTAAAATAAAATATTGTTCTCCCTCACTTTTTCCTTTCCTTCTTCCCTCCCTCTTTTTCATCTTATCTTTGTTCCTTCCTTCCTTCCTTCCTTCCTTCCTTCCTTCCTTCCTTCCTTCCTTCCTTCCTTCCTTCCTTCCTTTCTTCTTTCCCTTTTTTCCTTTTTCTCTTCCTTTTCTAGTGGATGGAAGGAGTTGGGAAAAAAGTGAATGACACTTGAAAAAATTGTAAATTTGTTGAAGTATTTCAAATGCAAAACCACATTGGATAACCCAAGTCTGATGCTACTCATATTATATAATAGAGTGAGAAAAGGGAGCCGGTGGTCATGTCATTTATATTTTATCAACGAGAAACCAAAGGTTTAGACAGGAAACATGGCTAACCAGAGGTCCTATGCTGGGACTCCAACCTAGGTCCTGTGACTCCATATTATCTAGTTTACCAAGGCCTTTGTATTTACTATTTATTACCAAAATTATCTTGTGTTTGTCATAATACACACACACATGTATATATATATATATATACATGTATATTTATGTACGTAGACCTGAGTTGAAATCCAGCCTCAGACACTTATTAGCTGTGTGACCAAGGGCAAATCACTTAATCACTACCTACCTTAGTTTTCTCATCCACAAAATGGGGGAAATAATAGCATCTACCAGGGACATTTTCATTTTCGTATTTGTATCCCCCATCCATGCCTGGCATATAATATTCTCCTAATACCAGCTTGCTGATGGATTGTATGGAGAAGACTGAATGTTTGTTTGAATCATTGAATGGTAGAATTGGAAGGGCTCTTAGATTTACATCTGCTCTAACCCTCTCCTTTTACAGAACGGGAAACTGAAGCCAAAAGAATCGCCAAATCCAAAGTCACACAATTGGTATGGAGCAGAGCCAAGATTCCAAACGCAGGTCCTTTGACTTTACTTACTATGCCCTTTCCCACTCTTCCATATTGAAACATATTCATCTATTTTATGAAAATTGTATGAGAAAGACTCCATATTTTATCAATCAATGATTAGGATAAAAGACAAAAATCAAATAATGCCTATCCTCAAGAGCTTACATTTGGTTTCATGTATACCTTTTGACAACAACCAAGTCCTCTGGAAATAGGAAGTCAATTAATTGGGGAGCAATGACTCTCAGGTAACTTTGATCATGAGTTTTAATGAGAAGCTGTGTTGCCTCAGGAAGTTATCATGGTGTAAAGTATAAGGTTCACCTGAGAGACCTTCCAAGTTGTGGAGAAAGAGATCATTACAAAAAAATCAGTAATATCACTTTCATCACAAAATACCCATTTTAGATAAGTTTTGGAATTTGAATCCAATTTATTGAAGTCATCACATTAAGATATGTCAGAGTTACTTAGAACAGGATGAAAATGAAAAATTACCATCAACAGTGGAAGTGACAATCTCCAAATTGCTTTAAAGCACTTTTGTTTCTGTTTTTATTAACAATTTAGAAAGTGGCTAGAACAAATACATTATGTATTCTGTAGCTCTTTTAAATGCTAGCTACACTTGACAGTGAGGTTTTCTCCGTGACACAAATTAATAGAGAAGCTCAGATCACTTCAACGAAAAAAGATTCTTTCTGTAGCTAGATGGCAGTAGACACCAGTGTTAAATTAGACCAGACAAGGAAATGTAATTACCCTCTTGTCCACCAGAATGGTCAATCTTTTCAAGTGTGATCGACATAAGCAGATTTCAGAAATTGGAGGATGGAACAAATGTGAAAGAACTCCAACAGGAACATGGGCATGGTGACTTTTTTCTTTGATTGTCAACAATGGATGGTCAACAAAGAGCGACTGAGTGATTTCCTTCGTAGGACAAATTTGTTTTCAGTAAGAAAGTCAAAGAGGTGAAAGCCCATTTTGAAAAGAGAACCATTTCCTTTCAAAAAGTGACAATGTCAGATCTTATCTGAGGTCATCCAACAACTGGATCCAAATAATCTCCTACCCACTGCACAGATGAATGCAAGGGCAGGAGCCAATTAAATTTGGCTGTGGCTTTACAAATGCACTAGAAAGAACTTGTCAGAAAACATGTCTTTCTTTTAATGGGAGGTGAGGACTGGGTCCAAAATGTCAATTCATGAATTGATTACTTAATATTCTTTCTCCCTTCCCCCACCCCTCCTCAGGTCTGGACCTGTGAGTTTGTTGTAGAGAACTCCCATTATGGAAACTCCCTCTATTAAAAGAGTTCAGCAACTACTGGGTAACTTTCATTCTGAGAGTCAGGGACAGGACTTGAACCCAGGTCTTCCTGATTCCCTGATTGTTCTTCTATCTACTTATGCAACAATAATTCTCTATATTGTCTTTTTCAAGACAATTAACATAAAATCTTTAATACTGATATTAAAGAAATTCTAGGCAAGTGAATACTTTAAAAAAAGGGAAAAAAAAGAAAAAACAAATTCATTATATCCAAATAACACACATTCTTGAGTGTGAATCCATTTATTTAACATGTGAATCAAACTGATTAAAAAAAATTTAGCTAAATCAAAATGTTTTCAGAAAAAGAAGCCAGTGCACCTATCTCCACTGTACTTTTATTATTAGCCACCATGATAACAGTAACTGGCATATCTGAAGGGTTGTGATATTCAAAGAGTCCTTTACAAACATTCTTTCATTTGAGCCTCACAACCACTTTGTGTGGTAGGTACTATAGATGTTATCATTCCCATTTTACAGATAAGGACATCAAGGCCGAAAGACATTAAGTGACTTGTCCATAGTTACATAGCCAGTGTCAAAGGTCAGGGTTGGTGTGTCTTATCCCCCTGGCTAGAATTTCAGCACCTTGAAAGCAATGGCTGACAACTTGGTGGGGATGTGAGGGAGGGGCTCCCTGGGGAGGTTCATGTTGGGCTTGAGTTCTGAGCTACTCCCCTACCACTCAGATTTTGTGATGGTCCATTCCCGTTGTTTTACTGATGAGGCAGCTGTGAGAATCTGCCCTAAGTCACACAGCCAGAATTTGAATTCAAATCCTTGAAATTCAGAGCTTTTCCCTCTATAACACATCTCAGTTTAATTAAATTTCATCTTCTGTATCTTCGCTCTGTCTCTCTCGTACAGAGTAAGCACCTGATAAATTTATTTTGTTAAATTCTATGAATTTAGATACATCGTAAGTCAACTCACATCCTCCAAAACACGACTTCACTAGTAAAAGGTTCATGTACCAAATCCAGACCATAAACCCTGTGTTAGCTGTGCTTCCTTATGCCAATATACAGAGGCTCAGTGGCTGGAAATGAAGGAAACCAGAAACATTCACTGGAAGCCTCATAGAATTGTTAGCATGAGAAGTGGCATGAGGAATCGGCTAATTCAACACCTTCACTTTATAGTTGAGGAAAGAGAGAGATGATATGCCCCAGGCCACATAATAAGTTATCAGCAGAGTCAGGCATTCCAAACACTGTACTTAATGGCCCTCGGTGAATAACAGTGATCAGAGCTGTAACAAGGACCAGCGACGTCCACACTGAGGGCAGGCAAAGCTGAGGCTGGGAGTAGGAGGGAAGGAGAACAAGGCACTAAAAACATGCACCTGCTCTCCCTGGCATGTCATAATATTTGGCTGAAGAAGCCATTTTACATTTTTGCCTTGGGGGTAAAATGAGCCAGCAAAACCAATCAGCTGAAAAAAAAATGTTCAGGACCTCCTGCGTCTGGAGGGTTCTGCTTGGCTGGGGGAGAAAGCAGACGAGATGGGAGCTCATGGCCCAATAAAGGGCTAAAACTCCAGCAGGGTGAGTCCATTAGAGGCAGCCTGATACAGTGGCCAGAGGGCTGGACCTGGAATCAGGAAGACCTGAGTTCAAATCCTGCCTCTGACACTTAAAAGTTTTGTGACACCAGTCTGGTTACTTATCTTTTCTGAGTCTTGGTCTCCTCCTCTGTAAAATGAAGGGGTTGAACATGACAGTCTCTAAAATTCCTTCTAGCCCCAGATCTAGAATTCTATGAAGCTTTGATGCAATAGGAGATAGGCAATTCCAAGTTCTAAGTGGTGTCCAAGGGAAGGAAAAATACACGCGCACACACACACACACGCACACGTATATATACATATGCAAATACATATGTATGCATATATGTATATCTGCATACATATATGTATATATAGGTAGGAGTATGTGTGTAAGAGAGACAGAAGTGAGATAAATGAACTTGAGGTCCAAGGACTCAATCACTTTTACTCCTAGTGCCAAGCATGGGACCTCACACAGTTGTAGGCATGCAATTAACTGACCGACTTAATGATCTAATACATGGATCTCCATAGGCAAACAGTAGAAAACTCTGTGAAGGCTGGATAGTGAATAGAGCTTTGTGTGTTAGCTAGCAGATACAAGTTTGGTTTGACTTTGTAATGCCCCAGGGTCCAAAAGACCATTCCCATTGTTTTGAATTTCTAAGAGGGAGATGATAAATTCCCAAACCAAGGATGCCTCCATAGGAATGCTATGTTTAGCTTGGGGTATTTAGGTGTCAGGATGAGGGAGTGAAATTCTGAAGACTCTGAGAGCTCAAGCAAGGAAGGAAATGACATGGGCTTCTGGTGTTAAAATATGGAAGGAACCTAAGGAGAAGAATTTGGGTGGGCAGTGAGTGGAAGACACCTGCTTAGGATCACAGGACTTAGAGTTTTAAAGTGACTTCAGAGATCATGTAGTTCAGGAGTGTGCCAGTAAATATTCAACAACTGGCTCTCTGGTGGTGGCTGGGGTGGGGAGGGTGTAACCACAATAAACTCTTTGGTTTCATTTGTATTGTTAACATTTTCTCTGTCACTTTCCTAAGTCTAGACCACCCATAAAACAATAACTTAAGCTCTGGCTACCTATTTCCAAGATGTAAATGCTCACACTGTCAGTTTAACAAGTGGCTCTCCATTCACCCATTTGAGCAGACTCTAGAAGACCTCTGATTTAGAATGTTGCATTTGCTGCTACTTGTAGTCACTGTATCAATTGTTTTTGCTTAACATTTTCTTTTGGACAAGGCAGGGTTGAGCACGTGGGAGAAATGTGGAAATGATTATTACATAAAAACAAAAACCATCAATAAAACAGACTGAAGAAAAACCACTAACAGTGGAGATGAAACCTGCTGGCCTGCTGGCTAAACTTTTCTAGGAAAAGTTTAAGGAAAAGTGGAAAGAATTTACAAACACAAATGTCTAAGTAGAGAAAGCCATGGTGGTAGGGGTAAAAAGGAAGCAAGAACTTGCAATTAGGCCAGGCTTAGGCAAAAACTCTGAGTTAACCTCTACTTTAAATCTAGCTCTGTCCTAGACCATGGAGATAGGAAAGCTTGGTGCTGCCAAGCACCCCAAGAAGGTCTGGGTTCCAATCTCCCCTCTGACACTTGGTTCTTGTGGGACAGTGGCCAACTTATTGCACTACCTTTAGTTTTGGCTTCCTTCTGTACAAAATGTGAGCAAAATTGGGATGTAACTTACCCCCTAGGGCTGGTGAGAGCTGCTGAAATAATTACATTGGTAAAGTGCTTTGTAAGCTCTGAAGCACAGTGGAAATGTCAGCTCTCATTCCCCCACAGTGCAATGAGAGAGCCTTTTGCTCCCAGAATGCTGAATTCTCCAGAGATGCAGCAAGTTCATAGCAAAGACCCAAACCCATGTTTGAGCTAGATTGAAGTCCATGTCTGCAGTCCAACAAGCGGGCATCTATGGCAAAATGTCTCATTGGATTTTGTTCTTGCTTCTCTACCTGATATAGGAAATTGTATAATGCGAAACAGCAACACACTCATGGAAGAACGTTACAAATATTACTTTCTTTTGGACTCAATCCCCTACCTGTCCCTGAGAATCGTCCAAAGCTCTCCACCTAGGCAGGCTTCCATTAACATATACAAGTATTTGCTGTCTTTGAAGGTTCGATATAGTCTGTGAATCACAAACAAAAAAACATAGGGTTATCCAAATGATTTCCTTCTAAAATAATTTGATAGTAGTTCTCAAGTGTTTGGGTTACATTTTTTTATTTGATATGGAATTCTTGAAAATAAGGGTGGGGAAAAGGCAGTGGTAACAAGCATGTCCTTGAATAAGAACAATGATGCTGATCCAGACAGAAGTACTTGGGTTTACTCTGCTACAACTTGGACCCCTTCTCCAAGCACAGGACTGGGCAAACCATTCTGTTGTTCCACATAGATTTCTGTGTGTGCGTGTATATATATGTACAGGTATATTTATATTATAGTATGTGTATATTTATGTATAGTACATATACTTACAGTACAGTATATAGTATATTACATATAGTATATATTTACATCTAGTATATATACTTATAGTACAGTACATAGTATATATTATATCCTATATATAGTATATATATAACATATATTACGTGTATAGTTATATATAGTATAAATATGTTTGTAGCACAGTATATATTATATATAATATATATAGCATATATCTTATATATAGTATACATTTATATATAGTATATAGTATGCATATAGTTATATAGTATATATACATACAGTACAGTATATAGTATATATATGTCATATATAGTATATATTTATACATAGTATATATACTTATAATATAGTACATAGTATATATATATAGTATATAGTATATGTATATTTATATATAGTATATATACTTACAGTACATGTATATATATCCTATATATAATATAGAGTATGTGTATGTTTATATACTATATACTTATAAAGCATATACATATACTAAATATATAGATATACATATTTATACTATGTAGTTAGCTATATTTATGTATCTTCATATGTGCAATAAACCAAATAATAAACTAACAATAACTAAACTAATAAATAACCAATAATAAACTAATCATAACTGAACTAACAAATAACTAAACTGATAAATCAATAACTAAATTAATAATAATAATACTACTAGATCACTTTTCTGATGAGCTTTATAGAAGTTTACAAAGATTTGACAAGTACTATCTCATTTGATCCTCACAACAATTCTGTGAAGTAAATACTATTATTACCCCCATTTTACAGATGAAGAAACTGAGGCCAAGAAAGAATGAGTGATTTGCCTCAATTCCCACAGTTGGTAAATTTCTCAGGCAGGATTAGAACTCAGGTCTTCCTGCTCCTCTGTGCCCTGTGCCACGTTTTCCATTTCTGAAGTCATGCTATTTCTACCATCTGTGCGTTACATCCATCGACATCATTTGTATCTATAGCAGAATCTCTAATCATTTCATGATCTCCTTCTCTTTAGAAATGTCCTTCTGTCTCTTGTGCCCAAGCAGAATGAGCTCCTCCTACTGCCACATCCTTGAATGCAGAGTGGAATCATATAATGTGTTCTATGTATATCAATTCTATCTCATTTGTGTGAGGACAGGCCCTGGTCCATCTGCAGAAGTATCAGTTTGACAGGGCCAGAATAACCCAGTCCTTTGTTGTCTTAGGCCTCACCTTTGGTTCTCTGACATCACACAGGAGCTTTTACAAAGTTTTGAAACAAAGTTCTTAAAATCTCTTAGGAAAAACCAGATATTTTAATAATTAACACTTTTTCCTTTATGTGGAACTTGGCTAGGCAACTTTGGGCAGTACTAGATAGGGTTAAGAACCTTAATTCCAGGGGCAGCTAAGTGGCACAATGAATAGAACACCAGCCCTGGAGTCAGGAGGACCTGAGTGCAAATCTGGCCTCAGATACTTGACACTTAGTAGCTATGTGACCCTGGGCAAGTCACTTAACCCCATTGCCTAGCCCTCCCCCCCAAAAAAAAATCCTAATTCCACAAACAGATGACTCTGTAATACTTTAAGTGTCCATGAGTTCATGTATGTGCCCATTCCCTCCACCTACAGATTATAACCTTCGAAAATGAAGTCAATGGTCTGCTGTAGCTAAAAAAAAGTCACTTTGTGGCCAACCTGTTGAGAAGCCATTCCAAATTTAGCTCATCTGCTTCTCAGACGAAAGACACATTATCTGTTACTGGTCCTACACTTGAGTTCCTTCCAGTTTGGTTGGACATTCCAGAGCCGGAACTATAAGCAGCACTTTCTGAACCTGAGCAAATGGCACAAAATGGTGCCCTACATTAATTTTTGAAGGGTGGTGTCAAAGGCTGTAGGATGCCACAAGAGGATTCTGGGAAAATCATGGGGAGGAATAAAGGTGGATTGGAATGGGGAAGAGCTTCTTTGGGGTATGGCCAACAGTCTGGTTGAGGAAATCATCATGTGGTAGCCTCCAATATTTTAACTACATATTAAGGTGCTTACTAGGTACTAAGTGTCATTATTTCTCCTTTTTCTAAAAGCTTGAAAGTGCTGTTAAGATGGCCCTAAATTTTATTACCCAAGGACAAAGTCCCAGTCATCTCACCCTAGTTACAGCTCTGATTACAGCTTGCCTTTGAGATGCTCATCAAGTCATTTTCATACTGCAATGAAGACTCAGGAAAGGACTTTAGTAAGTTTCATAAAAGGAATAAGATTCTTTTTCCTTTTTAGGAGAGAAACTGAATGGAGCAGAAAGAGATTTGGAAGGAAGGTATGGCATGAGCTAAGGAAACTCATTGAATATATAACTTATCTATGCTGAAAACTTTTCCCTTGTTTGGGAAAGGTTTTTTGTTTTTGTTTTTGTTTTTGAAATTGTGTGTGTGTGTGTGTGTGTGTGTGTGTGTGTGTGTTATTTCTTTCTGATGTCAGTAAAGCTTATGCAAAATCAGGATTTTATGGATTAAAAAATCAAAAACACCTTAACGTTAGAATTAGCCTAACTGTTCTGTACACACAGAAAATTTCTAACTGGGGTCTGCATTGAGACATTGACATGGGCAAGTACTTTTTTTTTTAATAAAACAGAAGGAATTTGCCCCCAACTATGCTTTTTATCCCACCTCACCATTCCTCCTATAGGTTTGAAATCTGCCACACCAAGCCCTACCTGACAATGAAATCTGAATGAGCCCCCTGCATAATCTGCTTCTCAGAACGGATGTGCTCCTGTTGTCTTGTGTCTACAATGTGGCGCTTCTTGAGAATTTTCATGGCAAATGTTTTCGATTCTTCACTTTTCAACTGGACCTAGAATAAAGAAAGATCATGCATTAGTGAGTGATACAAAGTTTCTGGGTGATTATCTACCATGTAACATAGTTCCCATTTTATGGGAGCCCAAGGAGGCCAACCATCTATCACTATCACCCAAAATAATAGTTAAAAAGAAAAGATGGCATGCAATAGACTGTCTTACAAACCAGGCGTTAAGCTTCTTTCTCACATCATTGCTAAAGTTAAAATAATTAGTCAGATCAACTCAGAGATGTACTGAACTCATTGGTTCTTACCCTTATAACCACTACCACCAACGACATCAAATCATGGTATCTTAATGCAAAGGAATACCATTCTATAATTAAGATCAATGAGTAGGAGGACAGCCAACAAGCCTGCAGAGATCTTCATGATATAATACAAAGGGAAAGAAGTGGAATGAGTAGAAGGGTGAAGGAAACACTAGGATCATTAGAGGGAAAGTGAATGAGAAAGAAAATGGTTGAAGAATCTGATGATGTTGAGGGAGGGATTGAAAAACTGTGAAGTAAAATATAGAGTGATTAAGAAAATTCATTGGTGTTTTTTTTTTGATGTTTGATGTACAGCTCCTAATAATTCATTCAGTATAACAGCTAAAGCTCATATTTATATAGCATTTTGAGGTTTTTGAAACTTTTGACAAACATTTTCTCATTTCAGCTTCACAATAACTTCATGAGGTAGGTGTCATGGAAGTACTGGATGGAGAGTTTGGAAAATCTGGGTGCAAATCTCACTCAGACGTTTATTAGCTGGGTGACTGAACAAGTCTCTTAGTCTCAATTTCCTCATCTGCAAAATAAAGATGTTTAACTGAATAGCCTCTAAGATTTCTTCCAGCTCTAAATACATGATCTTGATATGATATTTACAGATGAGGAAACTGAGTCAGAGTCACTCAAACCATAAATATCTAAAGATGAGATTAGAACCCAGCTTTTTCTGACTCTACTTCTAGTCTTCTAGACATGATCCCAGGCTGTCATTTCAATGTATTTCATGTGATGATTGAAAAAAAAAGTGGAATAAAAAATGATACATTCCTCTGTGAGTATGAAAATAAAACAAGCAGTTCTTCAAATCAGCTGATCTGATCTCAATTCATTTCTGAAATTGTGTCTAGAGATGTGGGCATATCCAAGATCAATTCAATCCAATGTAGCAAACATTTATTAAACACTCACCATCTGCAACTCTTGGAAAGAAGTTGGGGCTACAAAGAAAAACTGAAAGCCAGACTCTGCCCTCAGTGTGTTTCCAGTCTACTGAAGAGATACCAAGTCTTCAGGAAAACACACACACATGTGATCATTTGAGGAGGAGGAAGAGTGTCGAATCTACCAAAGGTACCAGCAAAGGTTTTCCACCGGAAGTGGTGCAGAAGCTGATGTCATTTCTCCTCCTGTGGAATAGCTGCCCAAAGCATTTATGTCTAACATCCATTCCTCTTCTCATGACGATAACTCACATTTATCCAGGACTTTAACTTTGACCAAGCACTTTTATCACTATGGATTTGCAAGCTCCATGGTGTGAGCATAACTCTCCCCCTTTTATGGATGAGAAAACTGGACCTCAGAGACGGTCACTTAGCCAGAGAAGCACAGGGAGGCACTGCACCCAGCTGCAGCGGCAGTTCCATGATGCTCCCCTGCCTTTCTTTTCAAGACTCTTTATTTGCTTAGCTCGTCATCACTTCCTTTCTGTAAAACTGAGTCTCTGTACCTTCTACCTGGTGTTTCTATTCCTGCCCTCCGGGAGCCAAACAGAACCAGTCTGGCCTCTTTGCCCAATGTCACCAGCAGCAATGATCTTCTCTCGAAGTCTTCCCTTTTCCATTCTAAACCACCAACTCTTTCAGCAGAGCATCCCAGGGCACCAGCTCTGTCTTCTGGAGGATGATGGGCACCCATTAGCTTCCCAGTTGGTTCATGTCTCTCTTTAACTGTAGTGAAAAGGATAAAGCTTGACTGGGACCGAGCACGGCCGGACTCTGGCTGTGTTCAAGATGGACGCCTGGTCTTTCTGAGTGCAGTCGAGCACCAACCTCAGGCAGCCTCAGGAATATTTCAAAACTTCCTGATTAACAAGTGAAATCCATCTCCCTGACTCGGTTGTCACATTTTATTTCTTGCTTCCACTTCAGGGACAGTTCCAACGTTCCTAAGGCCATTTCCAGGAACATAGGGGCAGCCTGGGTTCAGAATGGAAGTACGTTAATAGGATCTGTGGCTTAGATGGACCCTAGGGCACTTCAGCCTAATGGATCTCAGTTCCTTGGCAGCCTCTGCGAACCTGCCTGCCTGTCAGGAGGGAGGGAGGAACACTTCCTGATTAAGATGACATTTCAAAATGCGTTTCCCGGCCGAAAGCTTCTCTGATCTCTGGCTAACCCACTCTTGAAAGCAACAGGTCAAGATGTTAGGAAGAGGGAAGTTCTTTGAAACCAGGCACATAGAAGCATTTATAATGAAAACATAGAGGAATGCAAAAAAAGACGCCATGGAAGGGGTCAAGATGGATCTCTGGGAGGATGGCTCCAAGCCCAGCACACAAGTTTCAGAGCAGAGAGCCAGTCAAGCCAGGCTCTTTGGTGAGGATCTCTGAGCTAGAAGAGACCTTGCTTGAGGACAAAAATGTCCTTAACAACATGTCCAATAAATCCATTATCTGACCACTATTCAAAGACCCCCAGTGAAGACTTGGTCAAGAAACAGTTCTGAAGCGCTTATTCTGTGCCTGGCACTTGCTGAGCACTGGAGGCACAGGAAGTCCATCACCTCCTGAGGCAGTCTGCTCCACTCTGGAACAGCTTGAACTGTTTGGAAGTTTTTCTTTAATTGAGCCTACATTGGGCCCTTTCACCTTGTGCTTCTCCTCTGGAGTCAAACAAAATAAGTCTAATCCCTCTTCCAGCATTCAATCATTCAAATAAGTGAAAACAGCTCTTAAGGACCATCCTGACCCCAGTCCCAGCCAAAGTCTTTTCCAACTTCAATCTACCCTCCTGTGACGCAGACTTGAGGCCCATCCATCCTGTTATCTTCCCCTGGATGCACTCCAGCTTATCAAACTCCTTCCTGAAATGTGGCCCCCAGGACTGAATTCAATGCTTTGCACACAGCCTGATGAGGCCAGAGCACAGAAGGACCTGTGTGCCGTTGCTAGCCAGTAAGGCCATGGTCCACACCAGTTAGCTAAAAATTGTCTTCTCGGCAATGCTGGCATGATTTTAAAAAATGACTTGTACTAGTAGTCCTTTGCTTATCAGCTAGGGACTTGGGCTACCTCAACTTAAAGCCAGAGTGGAGTATCAGGCATCAGCCCAAAAGAAACACAGCTACAGAATTCTGAGGCAAGTCACAAGCCCTCAAGGTCCCTGTGATCTGCTGATTCAAACAAGGATAATTGTGAAACTTCTTCAACATCCTTTTATCTGTAATACTTCATCTAAGCCCTCCGGTTAGACTCCACTTGCAGAGTTAGAATGTGAGTAAAGCCTTTTAAGGTGATTAATGAAGGGAGTAGTAGTAGTAGTAGTAGTAGTAGTAGTAGTAGTAGTAGTAGTAGTAGTAGTAAAAGTAGTAGTAGTGATGGTAGTGGTAGTAGTGGTAGTAGTGGTGGTAGTAATGTGGTAGTAGTGGTACTACTACTACTACTACTAGTATTATAGTGGTGTAGCAGTAGTAGTAGCAGTCACAGTAATAATAACAAAAATTGGCATTTCTATAGTGCTTTAAGATGTTTAAGATCTTCTATTAACTCCATCAGTCAGCTAATTGAATTACCAGGCTCTAGAATTATAGAAAGTGAGATTTCAAAGGGATCTTTGAGATCATAGTCCACCCCCTTCCTGTAGCAGAAGGAGACCCTGAGGTCTGAAGAGGGACGTGACACAGATCACAACTGAGTGGTGGAATCAGGCCTCAAAACCAAGGAATCTAATTACGCAGGCATCTTCGAATATGTGAAATCATAGGATTGATCAGACTTTTTCTGCTCGGTCCAAAAGGGCAAAAGGAAGTTAAACGAATAAAAGACAGAGTCAAGTTCAGGAGTGCTGTCTGTCCCAAAGTAGATCAGGTGCCCTTGGAAAGCCGTGGGCTTCCACTCCATGAGAGTGTTTGAGAGAAGGCTGCATGAGCCCTCTTTGGGTGGCTTGGAGGTGGCACTTCCTTCTCAGAAATGAGGTGGGCTGACTGGCTTCTGAGGTGTTTCTAGTTTTGTGATTCCAGTCTCTCCCCAACACTGTGCTGAGTCCCTAATCTCATTATCATGTACCAAAGGAATCCCCCAAAGGGTGCAACATACAAAGCCTCAAATGGGAATCCAGTGAGAATCTCTCTCTCTCTCTCCCTCCCTCCCTCCCTCTCCCTCTCCCTCTCCCTCTCCCTCTCCCTCTCCCTCTCTCTCTCCCCCTCCCTCTCTCTCTCTCTCTCTCTCTCTCTCTCTCTCTCTCTCTCTCTCCTCTCTCTCTCTCTCTCTCTCTCTCTCTCCTCTCTGTTCAGGGATGCCTTGCCTTCCTCCTTTCTATGGCAAACTGGCAAACATTTCCCAGTGATGCTCCTTGGTATTTGATGGGATCATTTTACAATGATGTATGGCAAAATTTGGTGAATTAGGAAAAAGCCAAATCACTATATTTTATATTTTTTTCTTTCTCTTATTGGAAACAAAAGTTGGAGTTGGAGTTTCACAGTCTATGGCTCTGGTACTCAAGGCAGCAAGTGACAAAGGACCAAGGAGCTAGAACTGCAGAGGAATGAACTTAGCCTATCGCTCCTTCCATCTTGACCTCCCATTCCAGTCCCGGGGCCATGATTGCCCAGAATGTGCTAGTAAAGTCAGCCAGCCATGGTGTTCAGACCAGTGTGTATATGGGGGACATCTCACAAACACAGTGACACTCACCTTGTGTCCCCCTTCTCCAAGTATCAAGATGTTTAGCATCCCAAATGGTCCATAATTGGACTGAGGATGATCATAAT